TATATATATATATATATATATATGTGATTTCTCAAAATGGAGAAACTCGCTAAGTAGTATACATATTTTGGATATTCTACTTTGTGAGAAAAAAATTGTTGAATTATGGGATCACATATGGTAGGCGTTCAGTCGAAGGGAGTCGAGTAATATCTATATGAATTTTTAAGTACGTATCTACATATTAATTTTACTATTCCATATCTTTTGGATATATGTACATGAATATATTATATATGACTCAATTATTAACTTTTTATATATTAATAAGATGCTATCTTGCTTAATATTTTATGTTTAATGATAATATTAATTTTGATCAATAATCCAAGATGTTGAATCTAATCTTGTTATCTAAGTTAATACTATTAAAATGGGGGCATGACTTGTAGGCAATTATCGACACATTATCCTCATTTGATCGGTGATATAAGACAAGAATAAATGTTGACCCCATCGGATTGGCCATGTAACACTTGATAAAGATTATTACTCCTTAATCGTATCTTGAGTAGTTCGACATGCGATCCTACGGTTTATTAATAGTCGAATGACTCGTGTAACTCAACATATTACAAGAGGCCTTTCGAATACATTTTTCGAGCTCCTTTATTTTCTCATCTTAATATTTGACTAAATCCTCTAAACCCCTTAAGTACTAGAAGAGCATTATCACCTAATCTTTCCTAACAATCTTCTCAAGTAATCGATGAACTAAGCTATGTAACTTTGCATAAGAGTGTTTATCTTTGATATTTTTTTCATATTATATTGTTAGGAAAGATTTGGTAGAATATTGCTTGTTGATAATTTATGGTGACACGGTAATTATGTTGCCCAATCTCGATCGAAGTTGAATGATTTGGAATCCTCCTATCATGCTATTAGTCGTAAAATATCCTAATGTCATATAATATATATTTTCAATAGGATTCATATGCATTCACATTAACATAAAATCCGATTTAAATTTGTATCTGCGTGGAATTGACTACACGTTGAATCTCAGACAACTCATAGCCAGCTCAACCTGGGGTTGGATTTCAAGTTGCATTGAGTCAAACTCTATGCGTTGACAAGTAAAGGTCAATGCAGTCAACGGAAAAATTGAAGTGTGCGCGTTCCTCCATGGATGGCGTTCGATAGCCGGCGCAGTGAGGCCAGTTTGAACGGATCGGACGGTCATCCTGTTTACCAGCCCACTAAAGCAACAGTCTTGATGTCACCGGCGGCCTCTGTCTCTCTCTCTCTCTCTGTCTCTCTCTCTCGCTCTATCTTAATGGGTACGTCTGAAGAGGAAGTCAAGAAAACACATTTGGTGAGACAAAAGGAAAGTTCTTCATTTGTCTTTTAATCAAAATCTTCGATCACGTAAATAATTAACAAATGATAAGCCAGTAGTAAATAATAATATATTTCGAAAGGAGAAAGACAAGTGAATGGGAATTATTATAGAGGAAGAATATAACTTGATACAGAAGAAGAGATGTCTTATAAAGACGCCTTCGATAATGAGCTAGACATTATAGAGGAAGAACACAAGTTGATATGGAAGAAGGTTTGTGGTACGGCTAACCTTCGAAAAGTTTCAGAGCAACAACACAAATGATAAATCAACTACAAAAGCTTTTCATTTTTTATAAGCCGTAAAGATGAGATTCGATAGAAACATCTTTACACATTTTCGAGAAAAATTATGGACTGAGAATCCATAAAAACCGAGTTTAGTACATCACAAGATGATGAGACGTCAAGCCGAACAAAGTGAACCAAATGCACCGTCAACATATTAATGAAATGTTCTAACATGTAATAATAATTAGTCAAGTAAGCTAATACAAGTATTAATTAAGTGAATACTGTCGATTTTTAGAATGAACATCCAGTCTAATAAGAAGTAAGCATACACAATAGAGGCAGTATGAAAGGGAAGAACCCGGTAAATGTCTTTATTTCTGGTTCACCAAAGCAATATTGGTATACCTCTTGATCTTGGAATACCTCTACGTCACACCAACCGCGATCGGGGTCAGATATGTATTCGCATGAGCAGATCTCACGATTCTTATTCACATCAAGGATTAGTACGGTGATACCTACCACATGTAATGCCACCAAGAAAGCTTCATCTCCAAGCTGAGGTGACAACCAAAGTTTTGTCCTCCCAGCCGAAGTAAAGTGCCCCACTTTCCTCTTTAATCTTGTATCGATCACAGTAGGATCCTGACAATGCTCGTACCAATCCATTGACGTTGGTGCCGAATGGGCATGAGACGAACCCCGCCATTGTCATTCTTGCCCTCCACTTTCCGGCAACCTCGTACCTTTTTTTGGTTGGAATTGGAAGTTGTTTTACTTAGTAATGTGATGTTTCGTCAAAAATTCCAAATATTTAGATAAGCTAATAACAAAAATATTTTCAGGATTACCTCTCTATGCGGTCAGCACCTTCACAGGCCACGATGTTGACGATGTCTCGTGCAAGGCATTGCCTCTCCACGTTCATTCGGTCTGAGCTATCCCTCGGAAGAGTTGCATCGAGTGAATCAAAAACCGCTGAATAATAGTTGTAGACCTCCATAAACCTATCATTTTGTATGTTCAAGATTTTGAGAAAAATAAAAACTGCAGATAGATTATGATAAGTATATACATGGGACGAAAGCAACAGGTATAAATACTTATGGAGGAAAGAAGTAGTGGCTCATAAGGAAAAAGGAAATAGAAAAGAATTATGCACATTTGCAAACAAAGAAAACAATTTATTGGCAGTGGAATAAAGAATAAATTATAGAAAAATAATGTAAAGAGGTAGGAGAAACAACCTGGGGAGGAATGGAGCTGTGTTAGTGTTCATATCCTGCTCAACAACTGTGACCAGTTTTGGTCCCAGGCCCTTCACCATTCGAAGCAGCTCATCCCTTTGGTTCACCGTTGATACGCTCTCATCTGGCATATGATGCAGTTGAAATGCAAAGTTAACCACAAGTGCCTCCCCAAGTCGACGATCTAGCATTCCAGGTGTTACATCTCCACTCTTCACAGCTATTGCACTAAATTCAAATGGGACACCAAGCTCCTCTGCCAGCTTCTCAAGGCGCCGTCCAATAATTTCCAAGCCTCCAACTGCCCGTTGCACTGACTCTGGATCATCCACTGCAGATATCCTCAAGTGTGGTGGTTTGTGCGGCCAGGTTGAAAGAGTTTGTATCAAGTTTATGTATTGACTTCCTTGGTTTAAGTCAAAGTCTATGATATGAACTTTTTCTTCATCTCTGAAAGCTTCTATGATTATATAATTTGCTGCCATGTAACCAAATTTGAAACATGGGCAGACCTCAAACAGAATCTGCATCGCTGAAAGCTGATCTGAAGTTGGGGGTTCTTTACATTTTAGAGCCTTATAAAGGCCTCGTCCTGAAGAGGCTATTCTAGCTGCAAGACCTTCCACCATGTAGGCTGAAAGCCTTTGTGGAGGATCCCCCTGAATTGAAACCATTTGACGGAGCTCAGCTATGATGGCTCGTGCCTCCTCCGTGACACCTTCAGATATCGCAGCTGCACAATCAAAAAGTAGCTGCTTGGGGGTTCTAGGTTCTCTATTGCTTCCAATACAGCTGACGTTTGAATCCGATGATGACTCTTTTGGTGACTTTGTAAGTAATAGGTCCTTGATAGGCTCAGCCCAATCATCTTCAATTCCCATTATCTGGTACGAATCCACCAAATCCTCATCAGTGTCATTCAGTAAGACCTGCTCGATCTCTTGAAGCTTTAACCTAATTTCATCCTCACCATAGTCTATTTCATGATCTGAACTTAGATTGTCAGATAAAGAGTGGGAGGTTTGATGCGAGATGTTAGAACTTGCTGAGGAATCAGGATGCTGAACTGCTTCAAAGAAGGAGCTGTAAGGATTTTCCAATGTGATAGACGAGTGAATATTAGCCATCAGTTGATAGGGAGCTGAAGGAACTTGAAGATAGAGTCTTGGAATGGTGGATGTGGATGCTTGAAGTGGACCAACATGCATCATTTCTGAAGATGAATTGGTGAAGTCTGAATGGCACGATGGCCCATTACGGTACATCCGTTTATCTGCACTTAATATTTGCCTAGATATATGTAAGCTATCACCACCACCTTTATGTGCATAAGGTTTGGACTCTCCGTAGGCAGTAGATGAATCTGCAGACCTTACCATAGACATGTTGTATTCTCCTAATTTACACAAGGTGCTGAACAAAAATTGCAGTTTGCAAAGCCAAGATGCTTCCTAAGCTGATTGACATATTCAGGCCAGTTTGCGACAAACACCATAGTGCTGTGATCACAAAACACAATGTCAGCAAGGGCTAGAATGTCTATCATGTCAGTGCCCTATCTATACAAGAGGACATGCATAAACAGCTTAAGCTATAACCTTCTGATCTGTAGCAGTTTGGATGCTTCAAATTAGCGGCAAAAGCAATAATGCCAATATCTGATAGAAATTGATGAATCATTATAATATAGCTACAAGTAGTTCTGAGAAAAAAAAAAAAAAAAAAGCTAAGTTAAAAAAATTTAGAAAAACAAATGAAAAAATTGGCATGATTATATCCCACAAACGAGAATGAGATTAAGAAGAAGCATGTAATAATTTAAAAAGTGAACTACAGAACAATAGCCAGCTGCATTGTTGAAGTGGTAGAAAGAGATAGCATGTGTTGATGGATTTGTTGTAGCAGAGCTTGCTAAAATATTTTCAGAGAACTAAAAGAAACTATCAGAGACATGTAGAAAGACATGACTAGTTCTTCAGACAAAGAACATCATATGAAAATTGCAGCTACTTCACAGGAAAGATGGTTTGCTTAAAATCAGCGGTACTCTCTTTAACCAAGTTTCGGGGAGGAGTGACCCCCACCTCAAATACCTAGTAAAGTCCAAGGGCACAACTCTCACAAGGACTTGAGCACAGAACCTCTTCAGAGGAAGAGGATAACTAGCCACTAGATCAAAGCCTGGTTATAATTGGATATAAAAGTTCCAGCGTAGCTAACCATTCACAAGTTTAGAAGTTAGAAGCAACAGAATCTTAAATCAGTTAGAAGGACTCAAGTTTAGAAGTTAAGCATTCACAAGTTCCAGCATAGCGAACGAGTATATTTCACAGAACAACCAGTGGCAGCTGATGTCCTTTTGGCTCAGCAAAGATTGTTGATTCATTCTACCAACAAGTTGAGAACTTGTAACATTTCCAATCTATACTACTCCTTGCATAATGAGTAACTACTGGAAGAAGAATTGTTCGAGGACATTATACGCTTAGTGCTGGTTTTGCATACTCGGGGTCTTAGAATTCACTTTTTTATTTAAGTTGCTAAGGCCAGGAAGAATGTCAGTCATAATAAAACATTTTCAAGATTCAAGAATGGCTTGATTTAGTGTACATGGAACTAACAAACTTTATTCACTGGACTAAGGCTTTAACTGTCCAAGTATCAATACACAATGTATACAAATTGCGAGTCGAATTTGGATTTCAGGATGACAACTTTGTTGAGGACATATCCTTGCAGAGGATATTTCCATATAGCCATGCTTTAGAATCTTCAAGAGATCACCCAACTTAGATGCAAAACTGTTCCAGCAACTTCTACCGAATCATAATATCATCATAGCAATACAAAAGAGGCAATCAGAACTAAGGTAAACAATGGACTATTAAGTCTCACTATATCTGCCACTAGCAAGATTATGCAGCTAGTATAAACTACTAGTGAACAGAGCATGAATCTCGAAGAAAGTTCGAAAAGGACCCTTTTGCAAGGATAGTTGCTCTGTCTTGTCAAACAGCCTACAAAAAGTCATGATCCAATCGAGCTTAATGGTTACTAAATCAATCAAACATGATCAACTTAATCGCATCCAATAGCATACAAAGACGATAACTAATAGTGCACACAAGGCGACCAATTATGAATTAGCTCAATGGTAGCAACCAGAAATCCGTACCGATTGGAACTACTAAGGATTCTTGAATCGAATTACTCGAGAACCAACGCCAAAGTAGCTTTCCCGATCCCAAAGATTATTGTGACCGATCATAATCTCAATTTCCTAAGAGACATGGAACACTCTTTTACGGCAAAAAACACAAAGCAACACAAGAAAAAGCAGGAAAAGTACGATCGATCTGGGTATTACCTGGTCTTCGATCATGGGAACTAGTTGAAACCCGAGGGTGCTGTCTTGATCGCAGATAGCCGAGGGCGTAACGATCTAATGAATGATAGGATTCCAGAAGGGGTCGTAGAAGAACAAAGGAAGGCCGAAGGCGACGGACGAGATCGCGTGGATCGGTGGACGGAAGGAGTGGTTGTGAGACGGCGGACCACGGAAGCGGAGACGCCTGTGCGCGATCCCGCTCGGCGATTAAAATAATGGCGTTTCCATTACAATGGGCGTAGTGAGTGCTATTTCCCACACTGCCGCGACCCACGAGTTCCGGTGGGTCACGCGCAAGACCATCAGTGCCAAGTCAAACTTCGAGAGTCTCATCCAGGGGACCACCTAAACACGTACACTACGCGCGTACTTTCTACTCGTGGACGGAGCAATTTGGGTGGGTGGCGGTCGCTCGGAACGCAGCGAGCTTCCCACGAGTAATACTTTTAACCGCCCGTCTGCTGTCACCCGCTTAGGCACCCTTATGATCATTGGTACAAAATAAGGGACTTACGTGGGGCTCACATGCAAGCCCTACCAAAACACCGCAAGAAGACCCGCATTTTCGCGCCGCGTACGGAATCATTTCTTGATTCAGAGCGGTAGTTTTGTTGCCGAAAACACTTCTATTTGCTTTTTGGTGTACTGCTTCACGATTCAGAGCTGTAATTTTGTTGCCAAAACGCCTCTCTCTGCTGCTTCACTGGCACATTGGGACTGCTCAACTCTATCCTTTCCACCAACCCACTATGGGAACGCGTGCGATAAGTCGAGTTAGGCAGGACGAAAAGACGTTCTCCGATTGGTTGATAGAGGTGGATCCCACACAAGAACAGCTGACGTCGCGTCATCCGATGTCAATTACGGATGACATGGATCGTTTTATGACTAATATCATTATTATTATCGCTGCAAAGACAAACGTTAGGAATTGTTGAATAAGATTTCAAGTTATCAATATTTAGTAAATGGGTTTAGTATGCTACCATCACACGCTAATCATATCTTACTCTAAAAAATTATTGGATAATGTTTCAAGTAGTAAAATTATTATCTTAAAATGAAACTATATATATATATATATATATATATATATATATATATATATATATATATATATATATATTTCAAATGAGGTTGCAATGGCGGTAAACTTTGTTCAGGTTCGATACGATGCGGTTTTGGGGATCTGAAGCTGAGCTCTCCCCTCTCTCGGTGCTCCATTTTGGCTCAAGACAACTTTACGCGATCTTACTATGAAGAATGTTCCGATCGAGGCGCCTCGATCAGATCGAGTCGATCGATTTCAAGTTGGTATGCATTTCCTCTTATTTCCTCTGTTCTTGGAGTTCTTTATTTTCCCCATTCAATGATATCGAAACCCTACATCGCTGAACTATTAATCCCGTCATTCGATTCTTCAGGATCTTTCATGGAAAGTGTCGGTGTTCGTCTGTGTCTCTTTTTATACATCGATTTTGACCCGGAAACTTTTAGCTAAGGTTTTCGGTAGTTCTAGAAACCCTGGGGTCTGAATTCTATTTCGTCCAGGCATCACCCACTTGCGCGGAGAGAGAAGCGCGGGCGTCGGATGGCGGCCGTTGACGTTCACATTGGCTCCCCATAGGGAGGATCCGATGAGAAACCCCACCACATTTTCGTCCTAGATAAAAACCTTTAACAGGTATCAGTGCACTTTGGAAGTCCTACGATAAGCCCGGAACGATTCCTGGAGGGCGGTTTCCAGGTTTGACTTGAGAACGCCAGCCAATGTGAGGCACTGTGGAGTTCCTAGAAAGAAATACTAGTCGATGGTGATCTTTGACTGCTTAAGGTATATGCTGAACCCAAGCATCAAACAAATTTCCTGATAGAGTTTTGTTCTTGGGCAGTGTTTTAAAGCCATTTTGTATCATGAACATGAATGAAACTTTAGTTAGTGGCCCGTGACATGAAATAGTTGGGCATTATGTGTATTAACAGCATAAATTTTTATTAGTGTATGTGACATCGCCATAGTCGGAAATCACAAGTCAAGTTGTCGGGACATTGCCAACTCTTAGTCCATCTACGTAATGTGTATATATGTACTTTTTCTTCAAACCATAGTCAGTTACCAAGGATCTTTTTTTTTTCCTTGATGAATTATGACTGTCTAAGGCAATGAACTTAAATTTGGGCTCAAACCAATAATTATCTTTGACAAAATTATTCTCTTGTTTAATTCAACAATATATGAGCTTGACAAAAAGGAAGAGTTTTGAGTTTCCGACAAAAGGCTGTGAATGGATTTCGTGATTTACATTTGGATAAGTTGTTTAGTTGTCTTTATTTTAAATTATATAAGAATCTTAATGTTTTTCGAAACTAGGATTTTTTCCAGTTAGAAGTCCTTTTAATCTTTCTTCCAATTTAACTAATTTTGATATTCAACACCTTTCTTCCAGTTCCAATTTCTCTTACATTAACAATAACAGGTCAGTGGGGGAATATATTGAAGTGTTTGCAGCATATATTGAAGTGTATAATTTGAGCAATGCATCATCAGGTTATGCACATTAAAGTGTCTTTATTGTTAGCAGTTCTGAGTGTACTTGCAATGATAGTTTGAGTTGGTTTCTTATTTGTGCCATAATTTCCCATCTTATGGGACAAGACGAAGTCGATTATCTCTGGAGCATTATTGCTTAAATTTAGATTTTTCATCCTTTGGTCTAAAGATGTAAAACTACAACTTTATAATCCTATTTCTTAACATGGCTAATACTATATTGTTACAGCTACTCCCCAACTATTGTTTATTGCCTCCCATTCATCTATTGTCTTCTGAGTTTCTGTTTGATTTTCATCTTAATTTTGTTTTAACACTTATGTTGCTTGTAACCTGCATGGTGGAGCTTCAACTATATACCATCTGAGGAGTCTTTGTTATGGATTTCACCACCCTCCAACATGTACAGATAGGTATGCTGGAGAATCAAGATCGCCTTACCGGTCCCTATAATGGACTCCGTTTCACTTCTCTCTGTCACAGGCATGATTACATAATGATTTTATTTTGTATTAAATATCTTGTGTTGAAATATCTAGTTCTGGCGAGCAAACACAAGCACTTGTTTATCATGAAGGATGCAATGTAGTTCTTAAAATAAGAAAAAGAAGTGGTAATGCAGACTCTTAGAAGACTCTTAAAAGCAGTGATCATCCTGTCCTCTAGGTCGTCATAATTTCATTTTCTCAATGAAAGTTTACCGATATCATTGCAGGTTTTGTTTGAGATATGCTGAGCTAATTAAAGTGTATGCTTGATGAATCTTACTTGCATCCTAAAATTGGATTAGAAATTGAGTTTATTGATTTAGTCCATTCTCTTGCATGAGGCCCGAATATGACCGGAAGCTTAGTCCATGATCATGATTTAACTAATATTTATTATACTTTCATGCAGGTTTTCTTCTTTGCATTTTATTGGCTTTTTAAACTCTAAAGTTCCGCTGTGTTTTCTGAAACATTTGGCAGTCCCTCGCACCATAAACTGCTGATATTTGGGGAGCCAATCGCGCACTCTAGTTACTGTTTCTATTAGAATTTGCATTCATGGAGAAATTCTTTTGTTTTCCATCAATGATTATTTCCTTTTTGCAGTTCTGATTACCAGATATCATCAAGCCCTGCAACGAGCCTTATCATCAAAATAGTTTCTGATCGTGGAGTAGGATCATCCATTGCTGGAATTACTTGGTTCCCATAAGCACTGAGGACCATTATCCATGACGGTGAAGATCTTTTGGTAACGTGTCAATAAATTAGCTGGAGTTCTTTTTCGCTTTATGGTAACGCAGTCTTACCTCAATAAATATCGATGTTACTTTTATGCTTCAAAAATATTTTTCCAGCTTGCAAGTGAGTGATCATACTGTTATATAATAGCATTCGTTGTCAAAATACTGCTCGTTGTTCGTCTTCTTTCTGTTCATTGTTGCACAACCACACGGTTTTAAGTGCTTCAAGCACCTTTGTCATCACCAGTCTATTTCTCCCGAGACCTACTCTTTATCTTGTACTAAAAGGAGACCTTGGAATTGAAGATGCCCCTTTTGAACAGGTGCTGTGACAGGGCTGGAAGGAAACAATTGCCCTGCCCACCCATATTGACCCCGCAGAACACATCACAAGCAGTGGGGCATGGCCTTCTGAGAGGGCAACATCACATTGCTTTCAAATATCTGTGTCCAGATCAGCCAGATGAGATGACCACTCTTTGCATCCCGAAAGAGGAGTCAGAAGGACATGAGAATGCGCTGAAGTCTTTTGGTGAAAGAGATGTGAGAGCTTGGAATCCTATCCGAAGTTTCAGAGTGGGTGAAAAAGAAAGGAAGGAATTGGGCAAAGGCAAAAGAGGGGGTGTGTGGGGGAGATGGAGGAATCCTCTACCAAAAGCTAAGAAACAAAGCTGGTTGACAAGAGCAAAGGGCAAAAGGGCTTCATCCCATTGGAGGTTTGGCATCAAGTGTTAGGAATGTATCACATCAATCAGAGTTCTCTCTTATTCTTAGGTACGCACTTTGATATATGAACCTCTTAAGAAATCTAGAATCGTGTGTACACCGCCAGCACTTCAAGCATGATGCTTTACGCATGTGGGGCTCAGAATTAGCATGTAGACCTGGAATATGAGTTAACATTTCTGTTATCTTAAATCATAAGGGAGTGCTTGATCTAGATCTGAACTTATAGTCATAGACCCTCGTTTGCATGTTTAAGGTTGAGAAATAAAGTCTAGTTCGAGTATACGTATCTCTAGATGGTATGCAGCAGCGGAGATAAAAATGGGTCTGAGGCGAGATAAACGCAAGTATCGGCTACAAAAGTGTTGGCAGCCTAACTCGTTTCGGGGGTATATTGAGTGACATTAGGGGCAAATTTAAGTTTTTGGATTGCAGTGTATACCAATTAGCAGTAAGAAAGCTTTATTCCTGTCCTAAGATGTGATTTGAGACTTGGAAAATAATCTTCCACATATTTCTCTGGCATGTTTTTTTTTTGTTTTTCTGCATATCATAGCTATTTAGTAAATATATAAGTGATAGATCATTTTCATCTGTCCATCAACTAATCAACAAAAGGTTGGAAATTTTTACCTTGTGATTAAGTATATAGGCTGTTGTTATGCTCTGGAAAGTCCTTTTAACAGTATATAAGATCAATTACAGGAAGAAGTTAGATCCCTACATGTTGGTACTAAGAAAATGGCCATCGAACCGGCAAGCCCAAGATGTGAAGATTTGCAAGGATATGGGGACAGCATCATGCTGGCTGTTATGAGTCCATGTCATGTCCTCAAAGAATAATATGAATTGGTCATATCTTCTTCACCCATCCATGTCAGGTTGAAGGAATTCCCAGCAAATGGCCAACTCTTGAACAACCATCGCATTCTGAGGACCACCAGCGGGTGGGCATGAGGAAATGGAGAAAGTTGCAGGACTCGGTGGATGACTTGTGTCATCAGGACTAACAGTGGATGGGGACAATAATTGCCCTCATGCCTCCCATTTAAAGCAGAGATGGTGAGCGGGAAGGAGGAGGTTGGGGGATATCTTTCAGGCTGAAGATGACAAACCGGGCAGGCATGATTGTGTGAAATGGAGACGGCAGCAACTCCAAATCGAAGGCACTTGAAAGCAACTTGTGTCGAAAGCTTCCCTGAAAGAGACCTGCTGTTCTGGTCATGTACCCTGGAACAACCTGGCAGCAAAGCCACTCCACGATACAGGGTGCAGCATCACTTCCCAACATCTCAAAATGATAGCAGTTTGGTGCTGGATTAACTTGGAGCTCACATGATCTATCTAACACATCAGGAGACCACTATCACAAGTACTTTCTTTTTCTCCTCTCTCTCTCTCTCTCTCTCTCTCTCTAGTCCTTATCTCCATATCCTTCTCATGCTTATGAAAATAAGTGGTACTTGATTTGTTCTGGAGATAGGTAGGGGGGCTTCATCTTAAAGCAGAAACAGCTGCCATGTTGGCCCACATTTTGTTGATTGAGATGGAGAGATTGGAAACATGGTTTAATGGTGGACATGTTTTTCCATGGGAAACCAACTACAGATATGCTTGCAAAGCCAAGGGGGGCAACAAAATGACTTCCAATCTCACTGGTATTTACTCCCTAACCCTAACCCTCTTCTATCACTCAATTACTGCACAGGATATTAATATCTTTTAGAATCAATTACTTGTCCGCTGAGTTCATCTATTTTACACTTTCTATTTTGGATGCTCACAAATTATCTGGTTTAGGTCCTCATATGATATATATTTCATGATAGCTTTGCCATCTACCAATAAGCTTCAATCACTTTTAGTTGGTTCATATGGATAAAAGTATTGCATGTACTATATGTGTGCTCTTTTGGTGGTGTCATAAGAGCGTGGACCATATGAGAACAGTTAAGAGAGAGGGTCAAATTAATACTCCCATAAATTAAATGATGGTGGTCATTAACTGTATATTCATCAAAATTTGTACTTGTCCTGATGAGCATGGAATTTTTTTTTTTTTTTGGAACCAAATGCTTAATGGCTTCGTTTGATTGTGATTTATTACCCAACATATCTTAGACAAGCCAAGGCCACCTAATCTCAACTGTTGCTCATTACAACCTTCATCAACAAAATCCTAATAACCCTACTAGAATTCACTAACCAGTTTGTGAATAATGATGATGATGGATGACGCTAGAAAAAGGCTAATTGTAGTTGGAACTTAATCAAGAGCATGTGACACATATCCATTGTCATATAATATTCAACAAATAATACAGATTGCAAAATTAACTTGCAATAGAACATTGAAAGATTAAAAGGGGAATGGAGACCATAAGTAGATGAATCTTAAGATTTTAGCCGAAGCGTAGGTAGTTTCTTCTCTTGCAGCTAGCAATTGTGAGGATGGGGGAAAAAGTGAAAGAGAAATGGGAACTCAAAGACTTGTAATACCAGGGATTAGATGACGCTCGATGATTACACCCCATGCTTCCCACCGTGGCCCGCAACGGTGCCGTGGGGGCTCACCTGACCCGGTCCCACCAGATTAGTGCCCGTAATGATGGCGGTAGATTTGGAGGGTCGCGATCGTTTCGGCAACGGTGGGTCGGTGTCTTCGCCACGCCTGACATCTTGCGTTGTCTTCTACCTGCGTTATCCTGCGTCCACACTCTGCCATCAATGCAAGATATCATTTCCCCACCTCGAAACCCTTATCGACGGTGGCCCGAAGCAGCCAGGCGTGTCTTCACCGCCTCCCATGTATCTCTGTGGTCGTGTTACCAGTTCCACATCATCATCTCCTTTACATTTGTGTTCCTGTGCCAGGCCCTACATGCTCTGCTGCATCTCCAATGGCCATGGATTCAGAGCCTTCCATGGACTATTCACTGTTCCCTACCGCATCAATCATACGCCCGGAACTCCACATGGTGTGGGTGCTCATGGAGGCCGTGGTCCTTCCTCTCTCTCTCTCTCTCTCTCTCTCTCTCTCTCTCTCTTTCTCTCTCTCATTCACACACGTCCATGGCCATCCTAACCGACCTCGCTGGAATACTTACAAACACTTGGTGAACGCAAGCCTGCCTTTTCCTGGGCAGCAGACGGGTGTATAATCAGTAGAATCTCACTCATGAGCGGAATACTATTGCCAGTAGCGGTGGTTCAGCCTCCCATGGCGTTAAAAGAGAAAAAGTAAAGATTATATTACTCGGTACCAAAATCTAAAAAGGTCTCGGATTCTTGTGGTGCAGTGCCTGCGTCATGAATAATGGTTTCCGTGGACGGAGGTGAACGGGCGGCTTCTGCGCAAGAGAAGCGAGGGAGAGGAACGTGATGATGGCCATGCTCACGCTGTCGATTACGACAAAGCGAGACGAAGACAAGCTGCGGAGCAGCAGCGGAAAAGGTTCCCATCACATGTGTCTCTTGCTCTGTACAATACAAACAAAACCCATCATTTCTTTTTTCCTTCACTTCTCTTCTTGTTCATCAACAGCTGCTGCGCTGTATCGTTCCAGTCCGGATCTGATTCCAAGACACGGAGCGTCAACAACGCACGCTGTTGCCGTGCACTGTGCGGGTCAGCAATCCATTCTATGCTTTTGGGACGCTGTAATCCACGAGCTAACTGCTGGGTATTGGATAGACCGTCACTGATTCCGAGAAAGAGAAGCATAGAAGAAAGGGCAGATGTTGTGTTGTGGGAAGGCATCTTTCTGCTCGTTGATCCCTCTTTTGGGGAAACCTCCTTCAGCCAATTGATCTCCAGCAACCTGTTCTACGCTTCCCATGTAGGCACAGAGCAGCACGACCACCACCTCCACCTCGTCTCAGCTCAGGATTACAGTACCAGCAATCGATCCTGGTTGAGCGTGACGATGACTCCACCCATGAAACACAAGGCACCCACCCCCACTTGGTCAAAAGCTGGGTCGTAAGAAGATAAAGCCTGTCACTGCCTCCAACGGGGAGCTGCTGCCTTGAGCATATATCTTCGCCCCCCGGTGGCTTAAAATTGGGTGAGATGGGGACAGCCCCAATTCCAAGGCAAAGCAAAGCTCAGCAGACCTCTGCAACTTTTCTTTTGGTGGTGACTTCCTGGTTGCAACATCAAAAGGCCGGCCGGCATTAAAGAAAGAGAAGCTGTGGCCACAAGCTACAAGACATGGCGGAGTTTCTCCAGACAAGTCAACTGATCTCTGCCGAGCCCACCGGAGAAAGCCGAAAAGCAATTCGACGAAAGTCTGATCCCCACCCCCCGAGAAAAGAGGGGGAAAGGGATATGCTGCTCATCTCGAGGCCTCCCCCTTTCTCGATACGGATATGTGCTTCGCCGTCCACATCCATCTCGAGGAAGAGGTGGATGCAGAGTAAATGCTTGTTTAAATGCTCGCTCGCTCGCTCGCTCGCTGCAGGGAGTCGCAGGTGGCAGATAAAGGTCGCTGCTTTGTCTTTTGTCTACCGAGCCAAGACAAAGGGACGCATCGTTGAAGCCATCGATGCGGCGGGTTTGCTGATCAGAGGAAGAGCGATGGAAAAATTGATTCCCTAACCAAAACAACAGGGTAACAATATTAACAGATCCCACGCCACTCGACCCGGCCGGCCGGCCGGCGAAACCCTAAACAAGGGACGACGAAGCCGGAGCGAGCCGCTTTCATCAGCACATGAAGACTTGGAGGTACGCGTTCTTGGTGGAGCCGCAGACGGGACACGTGTCGGTCTTCGACTCGCAGTCCTTGCATACGCAAACGTGCCTGCAGGGGAGCAGCAGAACGCACACGTCCCGTTCCCCGCACGCCTTGCAGGCCTTGCGCCGCTCTTGCACCTCGAAGCAGCACGACTGCGCGTCGTCGGCCGGGAACGCCGCCCCGCCGCCGTCTCCGTCGCCGCACCGTTCGTGGCCGGCGGCAGCGGAGGCGCCCTGGAGTAGGGCCTGCTCCAGGCTCGTCCGCAGGCCGCACGCGATGGCTTCGTTGTTCTTGGCCATGGTGAACCACATCTGGTTCTCTTCGCTCAGCTGCCGCACGTGCTCTTCCAACTCCGCGTTCCGCCGGCTCGCCGTCTCCAGCTCGGCTTCCTTCTCCATCAGGCGCTTCGCCGCCTGCTGCTCCAACATCGAGAGTAGCGCCCGGCAATGCCTCTTGCGCGCCTCCTCCAATCCAGTCCGCAACCTCTCGCTCTGTCGGAGCCATTTACTTACCACCATTAGTTCAAGAAAAGAATGCAAGAAGCGAGCGATCAATAGGGATATGAAGGACTCGGAGATACCTGCACGCGGACGAGGGCGTCGATTTCCAGGTTCTGTTGGAGGAGAAGGGAGACGAGATCGCGAACGGGAGACACGGCTTGCGACGACGGAACATGTCGACCGCTGGTGGAAGTTGCACCGGACTCGAGCGACCGGCTCTGCAGGAGGACGCCGGGGATAGGGATGAGCGGCGAGAGGGCCGGGTTGTGGAGGATGGGAAGCGCCATGGAATCTTCCCGCGCACGCTTCCTGGACCCGGATGCATTGCACGTGAACTCGCTCTGCCGACCGCTGAACCCGACGCCGGCGTTCAAGATTTGGTGTTCCTGCTTCCCTGCATCACCCAGAACACCGGTTTCAATCATCGGCTCCATCACATCAAGGTTTGTGAGCAAGAAACCGGCCGCTCACCGAGGCCACCAATCCCGCCGCCATGGAGTTGCAGGAGATCGCGAGGGTCTTGCATCATTTGTACATCATCCAGAGCTCTGTTACGAAGGAAAGGAAGAAACAGGCTGAGAGAGAGAGAGAGAGAGAGAGAGAGAGAGGGTGTGGAGAGGAAGGAGGAAAGATCGATCTTGAATGGAAGAGGAGCGGCACAAGGAAGCCCAAAAGAAGCGCTCCAAGAAAGGGAGAGAGAAAGAGGAGGGAGAAAGAAGCGTTGATGGCTCACCGGTTGCGGAAATCGGGGGAGAAAGCGTTGGTGGGATACTGCGCTTGCACGGCCATCACTGC